AGCTGTGTATGGACCATCGTCGAGAGGAACATGTCCACTCTTTGCTGTAGACGGAGAAACATTGATTAAAGAACCTTCTTTGGTCCTGGCGCGCTGGGCAGAGCACTTTAGCCAACTTCTAAATCGCGAATCAAGAATCCTTGAAGATGCCATAGACGAAATRACACAACGGCCTATTATTGACGAGCTCGACAATGTCCCTGTCGTAGCTGAGACTGTCAAAGCAATCAATCAACTTTCAAGCGGCAAAGCACCTGTCGACGATGGCATCCCACCGGAAGTGTTCAAATATGGGGGTGACGCTCTAGTTACTGAACTGACTAAGTTCTATCAAAAACTCTGGCTAGACGAAGCCGTTCCACAGAGATTTAAGGATGCGATTCTGAAGCACCTATGCAAAAACAAGGGTGACAGAAGATTGTGTGACAACCATATAGGGATATCACTTCTCAACATAGCTGGCAAARTGTTCGCAAGAATCATTACCAACCCGTTTTGCGGGTTAAGAACTGGAAGAGGAACTACAGATATGATGTTTTCAGCTCGGAAGATGCAAGAAAAGTGTAGAGAACAGAAGCTCGATCTGTTTATGGTGTTTATAGATCTCACCAAAGCCTTTGATTCCATCAACCGCGAAGGCCTCTGGAAAATCCTCCTTAAGCTAGGGTGTCCACCAAGAATGGTAAATATAATCCGCTCATTTCATGATGGCATGACGGCACGTGTATCAGATAATGGAACTACATCTGACCCATTTCCTGTAACAAATGGAACCAAACAAGGTTGTGTTATGGCCCCGCTACTCTTTGGAATTGTCTTTTCTGCGATGCTCCATGACGCRCTCGAGATTGCRACAGAGACAGTCTCATCAGGTTCAGAAAGGATGGTGGTATTTTCAACCTTCGACGCCTCAAGGTGAAGTCAMAGGTTTCAACAATGTTGATCCGTGAACTCCTGTTTGCAGATGATTGTGCTTTGATGGCATATAGCCAAGAGTCATGGTAGACGATTTTGCCAGAGCGTCAACCCGTTACGGCCTCGCCATCAGCATCAAGAAAACGGWGGTCATGTTCCAGCCTAAGCCTAAAGGTTCTCCACAAYAACCACCTATAAAACTTGGAGATGAAGACTTGAAAGTAGTCGACAGGTTCTGCTACCTAGGTGGAATACTGTCTCAGAATGCCCGTATAGATGATGAAGTGACAGCGAGTATTGCAAAGGCAAGTGCTGCCTTCGGGAGACTCCAAAGAAGAGTCTGGTCAGACCATGGAATCCGCCTCAACACAAAGGTTGCTGTTTATAGAACAGTCGTGCTAAGCACCCTTTTATATGGCTGTGAAAGTTGGATATGGTACAGTGAACACTTSAAAAAGCTCGATCAATTCCACCTGAGATGCCTGCGTAAAATCTTTGGAATCTCATGGCGAGACAAAGTACCGAACACAGGTGTCCTGGAACGCTGTAAAATCGAGGAAATCGAATCWATCCTCGTGAAATACCAGCTTCGCTGGGCAGGTCATCTGGTTCGGATGGAAGATAACCGAATACCAAAAGACCCTTTTTATGGCGAACTAACAAGCGGACAACGGCTTAGAGGTGGACAKCACAAGCGGTATAAGGACGTCCTGAAATGCAATCTGAAAGCAWRTCAAATCCCAACGAAGACCTGGGAACATCAGGCACAAAACCGAAATCAATGGCGCACCATCTGCCATTCTGGCGTGCAGGTTTTTGAAAGGAGACGCATCGAGAAGCTTAAAGAGCGGCGTGCCCAACGCAAACAACGGGCACAAAGTGGCGCGTCCTTCGCTGGGAACGATGAGCAATCCTTTAGATGTCCCGAATGTCAACAGAAGTGCGCCTCAAGAATCGGCCTGATCAGTCATCAAAGAAGCAAGCATAGATAATAAAGGGAGGAGATCTGTCGATACGACGGCTCAGTCCATTCATTCATTCATTCAATGTAATCCACTACCAGTGGAACAATATGTATAAGATAGACCTTGTTACTGTAGAATAATTAGCTTAATATAGTTTATACAACTAATGTACACTTATTTAGGTCTATCTCTGTGTATTAATAAAGTTGTAATCAAAACACAAGTACCTATGTCACATACAAGTACCCCAATACAAMTACATCCTCCCAACCCAGTTCAGACCTCCCTAGAACACCAGGTCGAGATCGACCAGGAAGTACAGGAACTCCTGTCAAAGAATGCAGTCCATTATGTTTCACCCAACCATTCTCAGGAACCAGGGTTTATAAGCACACTCTTTGTGGTACCCAAAAAAGGAGGAGGGCTCAGAACAGTAATAAACCTGAAGCCTCTAAATCAGTTCATTTCCTACGAACATTTCAAAATGGAGTCAATTTTAATGCTAAAGAATCTTTTAATAAAAGGAAATTATATGGTCAAAATAGACCTGAAAGATATGAATTTTCCTTTGTAATATTCAATGATTGTTATCTTTACGCAATCGATATTGCGTAACGGAATGTACTTTGTGATCAGAGGGCGGGAAGAASTATTGTTCGTTAAACGGTATTTAAGGAGTTGAACTTGTTGTGCAATTCATCCAGGTCGTTGGTCTCAAGTACCAAGTTTCAATTACTGTTTAAAAAATTTTGGAATTATTTTTAATCTCTTATTAATTAACTAATGCTGTGTGTTCTCTTTTTCATATTCCAATCCGGTTTCACATGAAAAAAGGCTATAGAAACTCTCGTCAAAACGACATCTGTTTYAAGTGCGGAAGCAAGGGCCACTGGAGTTCTGAGTGCGGTTCCAAATATTACGCAGCCCCGTTCCCAAGAAGAAACGCCCTCTATAACGACAGCCACAACTTCAGGAATCCCACCGCAACCACAAGCTCAACAGGAAAGTGATGAATTGTCAGACCACGATGCATTGATCAAGGTAGAATCTCTAAACGATAAATTTAAAGGGGRAATATCTTCGAATTCCAACGACTCATCTAATGTTCGCGGTCGTTTACCCAATCATATTGATTTTTRGCGCAGAATTGGCGCCCCAGATTAMGTAGTTTCTACTATTCTCGAAGGTTACAAGATTCCTTTTTTAACCACCCCTGTCAAGTCTCACGTTGAAAACAATCGTTCTGCAATTGATCATTCGCGTTTCGTGACCGAAGCTATTTTGGAACTTTTACAAGGTGGGCGTATTTCTGAGACCTCTAAAGACAATCTAAACAACATCAATCCGTTGTCAGTTTCTGTCCAACCTTCTGGCAAAAAGAGGCTCATTTTGGATCTCAGGATTATCAATCAACACCTTATAAAATACAAGTTTAAGTATGAAGATTATAAGAATGCATTGGAATACTTTGTTAAAGGAGGATTTGCCATTAATTTTGACTTGAAAAGCGGATATCATCATGTTGAGATTTTTCCTCAGCATAGAACTTTCCTGGGTTTCTCGTGGGCGTTTCCCGACGGAAAAACTCGATACTTTTATTTCAATGTGCTACCTTTTGGTCTATCAACCGCCCCATATATTTTTACAAAACTCTTGAGACCATTAGTTAAATTATGGAGAGGAAATGGAATCCATTGTGTCGTTTATTTGGACGATGGTCTTGCTANGCTTTCTCAAGCACATGACGTACTATGAAAATAGCATCGTTAGTTGACCGATTGCCACGGAAACCGAACTGTGTTTGTAGCAGAATGTATTCGTACGCATCCTTGACTCTTTCTACTACTATGGCCGATARGATCTTTGAAAGAGTTGCAATAATACTGAGTCCCCTGTAGTTCTCGGCCAAGGACCTGGGACCACGCTTGTAAAGGCAGGTGATGCTTGCAGTGAGCCATCGGGTTGGTACTTGCAGACATGTCCATATCAAGCTCACTAGGAGCACCAAGTATTCTAACAGGTGTTTCGATGTTGAGTACTTCAGATGTTCGGAGTGGATTCTATCTGTTCCCATGCATTTCCCATTCTTCTCATGAACTCGGCTTGATCTCCTGGGCTCTGCTCGCCAAGGAAACGGCCGCTGACCCATCATTATATAAACTTCTGAAACTCACCGAAGATGCAACCCAAAGCTTCGACCGAAGCGACCTCAACCTTACGACGTACTGGGCAATCCACGAGTCCATCTACACACACGAAGGCGTGCTGATGAATCAGGATCGTGTAGTGATAATACCCCTGTCACTAAGGAACAGAATACTACAGCACCTCCATGCTGCCCATCAAGGCATATCAACAATGGAACAGCGGGCACGCTCCATAGTATACTGGCCAGGAATGTCGAAGGACATAAAAAAGGCCAGAGACTCGTGTGCGGACTGCAACAGGAATGCCCCATCCCAAGCCGCAACCACACCGATTTCTTCCCCACCACCAGCGACACCCTTCGAAGCAGTGTTCGCTGACTTCTTTGATCATGGTGGCCACCACTACCTCGTTGTAGGTGACCGCCTGTCAGGTTGGGTCGAGGTACTCGGTTCTAAAGCAGGTACGAATCTCGCAGGAGCAGTGGGTCTCATCCGACACCTCCGTGCATTCTTCGCAACGTTTGGAGTACCGGAAGAACTATCCAGCGACGGAGGGCCCAAGTTAACGGCTGGTCGCACGGAGGCATTCCTCAAGTTGTGGGGTGTCCGACACCGGATATCGTCCGCCTATTTCCCACAATCAAACGGCAGAGCAGAGGTCGCGGTGAAGACAGCCAAGCGCCTCCTCATGTCGAACACTGGTCCGTCTGGGAACCTCGACGACGATCGTTTTCTTCGTGCGATCCTCCAGTTACGTAACACCCCTGACGCGGATTGCAATATTTCGCCCGCACAGATTATCTTTGGCCGTCCCATCCGAGACACACTGTCATTCGTCAATAAGCTAGAGAAGTTCTCCAACCCACATGTGCGTCCACTCTGGCGCCAGGCCTGGGCCGCCAAGAAAGATGCCTTGCGATCGCGGATGGCCCGCACAACAGAGTCTCTGAAGGAGCATTCACGCCCTCTTCGCCCACTATCCATCGGAGACAGC